CGACTCGTACAGGGAAGTTTGGTCGGTTGAAAAGCACCTTGGCTCTCGTATCTTTTGCGGCTTCTTCCTTCATCCGCGGCAAATGTTAATGCCCAACTCCAAGCAAAATAGTTGACAAGAATGAGATGGTCGAAATCCAAAGATCGCTGGCGCAGCAATGGTTTGCTGTACAATGAAGTCGGCATCAGTTGCCCGAAGATGGCTGTGATCCTCCTCTTCAGTAGTCGACGGCATCCACTCCCTGCAACTTGCCCTCCGTGTCCTCAACATAACGCACCAAGTCTTCAATGGTGCACACCTTGATGCCCCACTTCTTGCCGAATGCCAGGCACTCGTCCCGCCTCATCATGCCGCCTCCAACCAATTCTGGAACACCCTCTTTTTCCTCGCCATCAGTGATCAACTCGCAGATGACACCGACTTCCGGCAGCTGCGCTAACCGACACAGCTCGACCGCGGCCTCGGTGTGACCGCGCCTCTCCCTCACGCCGCCCTCCCTCGCCTGCAGCGGCAACACATGTCCCGGCCTCCTAAAGTCCTCGACCGTGGCGTTGGCGTCGGCAAGCAGCCGGCACGTCACGCTGCGGTCTCCGGCGCTGATGCCGGTGCTGATGCCATGCTGCGACGCCGCGTCGACCGAGACGGCGTAGGCGGTGCGGTTCGGGTCTGCGTTGTCGACGACCATCTGCGGCAGCGCGAGCGCTTTTGCACGCGCCGGCAGCAGCGGCGCGCAAATGTACCCCGACGTGTAGCGGATCATGAACGAGGCTTTTGCGGGTGTGAGGGCCGATGCTGCGATGATGAGGTCGCCTTCGTTTTCGCGCGAGGGCGAGTCCAGCACAATGACGAATTCGCCGCGGCCTGAGCATCCAGTTATTAGTGTGCTTCATTGGAGAGGCTCCAGATCAGGAGACGGCAGTACCGAATGCTTGTATGACATCGGGAATGGGGTCGAAGGCGGGATGCGAAGGTGTCGAGGTGCCGTTAACGGCTGGCGCAGGGTTTGCAGCAGTCGACATGGCGATGGAGAGTGGAGGGCGGTAGGAGGGCGTCAAGCAGATGTAGTCGTGGTTCTCAGTGGTGCCGTGTTGGTGTATTTCGCCGGGTTCGTTCGCAATCGCAGGGCCCACTTTGCATATGATTATGAGAAGCTCAGGCGCCGTTTGTCAGCGCGCGGGAAAGCGACGGACGGCGGTGGAATTGGGGAGGGGAGGATTGAAAAGGAGCGGCGGCGGCGGACTGCTTGCTGGCTGGCTGGCATGGTGAAGCTGGCGGTTGACGATGTCGAGTCATCTTTGCTATAGACTTCAAGCATCCGCTCTCCCGCTGGATGCCCCTCATGCCGAAATGCAATTTTAGAAATGGCCGCTTCTGGGGCCCCGTCGTCGGCAAGCCGGCGGCAAGCACTTTGCCGACTCTGCAGCCTCGGCTCCGGCTTCGCCCGGTTCACGATTTTCGGATGCGGACAGCAACGACTTCTTCCCCATGTAGTACTCTACCCGACTATTCCTTCTTCCAGCCGACTGTCTAAATCAAAGACTCGATGACCGCTCCAAGACTCGCCATCCGCATCTGCTGTTTGATGGGGTATGATACACGCTGACCAACTCCAAACGCCATGCTTATGCCTGTGAACGCGGCAGGTGCTCCGTTCAGTCGTCAGACTCCTTGTCGTCATCCTTGTCTTGCTTTTGCTTCTTCCTCTCCTTTCTCAAGGCCTCGGCGACTTTTTCGTCCTTTTCGTCGGCAAGCTCATCCCACTCGACGTCGTACTCGTTTGCAATCATCTTAATCTCCTTTCTCAAGGCATTGGCCTCCTCAATCAAGGATTCCCACTTTTGGAGGTCGAATCCCTTTTCGGCATAATGCTTCGACTGACGACGCGAAATCGTCAAGTTCATGGCAGACCGGTACGAGACCTCGCGGTTGTGGTACAGGAACCAGATGTAGCCGCCGATCAATGTGGTCAAGCCTACAAGGTACTATTTTGGTCAGTGGAACGTCTTCAAAACAAACACATGGACTCACCGTCACTGGCTCCATGACATCCCAGCCCAGATCAGTGTCGAATGTCAACTTGTACACCGTCGCCCACCAGCCGACTATGACAACGAGTCCACCTGTCGCGACCCGTTGCGCTCCCTTGTGCGCGAGCTGGTCGCATTCCTTTTTGATGTCGGCCATTTTTGCAATCTTGTGACTGGTCGATCTCAACCGCATGCGCAGATAGTACGTGCGGTCGTTGAAACTGGGTACTCCAACGCGAATATCGTACGGTGCGCCCTCAATCTCGACGGCGAATTCTTGCCCACGCGCGGCATCACGGATAAAGTCGCCAATCTCAGTCGACGAAGACCAGCGGACGAAGCGTCTCTCTCTTGTCGCGTCTGACCGTGCTTCATGGCCAAGCCCAGAGTACGATTCGACTCCGCCCTCCCCAACACCTCCGCGCAAACGGTTTGCCTGCTCTCTGGTCTTGCGGTTCAACTTCCCAGTCCGTTGCATTTTTCCATCAATGTAGACCTCGTCACCGTCCTCAATGTCGTCAGGCTCTGAGGCCTTTTTCTTGGCCTCAGCCTCGGGAAGCTCTACCGGGGTCTCCTTTGCAGGCTCCATTTTGTCTTGCGTCGAATCTTCCGCTCGAAAATAGATGTTTGGGATCTTTTCCTTCCCGTCCTTTTGAATTGTGGGAAGCTCCGATTGTATCAAGCGCTCAAGGTAGGATAAAGGTTGCTGTGGGTGCACCAGCAAGGCCAGAGGTTCGACATCTTTGCGGTCGGTGTTGTGGTCTTTGGTCGTCAGAGGCAGGATCAACTTGAGCATCCGACTGGGCGTAGTAAGGAGCTTTCCTTTCAAAATGATTGTCAGTCGCTGTGGTAGGATGGGGTATGAAGGAAAGGATACCCTTGGTCATGGCCCCAGCAGATCTTTGACGCGCGACCGGAGGCTCGCTTGAGCCTTCTCTATGCCATGGTCTCCGAATTTGTTTGCTCTTGTCTTCCGCTACCTTCCGCTCAAAGTCGCTTTCCTCCTCTTTGGTGACATTGTTGTTCAGCTCGATGGCAGGCATCGCGTGGGACGCGACGTTCTCCTGTAGTCGAAGCAGAGGCGTAGTCGTGTACGATCTGATCGAGCATGATTGCGGTTTCAGGGTCCGAAGACTTGATATTCTTGCGCGTGAAGGAGAAAGGAGGTGGTGCGCAGCGGGGGAGGCTTGCGCTAGGGATTTGATCGCGTGTTGAAGAGGTCGCATGTTGGAGGATGTGGAGTCTGAATGTTGGATGGATTAAGAGACTCTCAACCGGGTATGTCCTCGCATGATCTGAGAGCTGATGGAAGTTTGTTTGCAGGTTTCTTGACAGCTGCAGGGCAACGATGTCGCGGCGTCCAAGTACGGTGCTGTGACGTCAGCGAGAACGCCTGCCCGAAGCTCGGAGCGGAACGCGGCCCGCAGCCTTGTTTCTTTCGCGTCTGCCGGCTTAACACCATCTCTCATTTAATCCAGGTCAATCTCTTTGCCGTCCTGATTTTGGTCTTCATCATCACATCACCTTGGAGCCATCTGATGAACTCAACAGTGCTCAATGTGACTCCATATCCGCCTCGAACGACTCTTTGACGCAAGTCTGAAAACCACGTCCAGGCACACATCAAAGACAAAAGTTCCGCCTCTACCAAGATTCTCCCGACTCTGTCGAAGATGATTGACCCTTCGCTCAGCGTGCCGCCAAAGTATTTTTCACTCTTTCCGAAGAAACACCAATGAGGGCACTTCGCTTCAGGAGAATGGTCGGTGAGAGTTGCATACGGAGCGGCAGAGTAGTCCCGAATCCTCCAGTATCTTGCGTGATATTTCAACGCTGTACAGCCTGCACAACTAGTGAGCGAAAGAGCTCGCTTTCAGGTTTGCTCCGCTCTTCCTCAACGTCCTAAACTACGACCACATTCATTTCAGCCCCCAGGAGTGGGTATCGAAAAAGAAAATGAGACTCCTTAGGTCTGGCTGCAGCAATGAATGACTGCTCCCTAAGCGTGACTGCGGTAGTGAACGAATGCTCCCTGAATGCACACTCCTACTGCCAGAAGATCTCATTTTTTCGATATCCACTGTGCCCTAACTACTGGATCGATTGAATTTGTTGCCAGGAACTCCCCTTGGTCGATGAGTCGCCTTCTTGCAGATGCAACTCTGCCGAATCGACCGAGATGGTAGAAGTCTTCAGCGGAGTCTCTTCTGCACGTACTGCAGCAGTCTCCCTGATTCCGCCCTTTCCGCGATTCAACTGCGATGAGAAGCAGTCCGCCTTATCCGTTGAAAGACGGGCTTGCTGACCTCGGATCCCCGAGTCCCGAAAGGTGGCTTCTAGATATGCATTAACGAGCCTCGTCTTGACTACGTCGGAGAGCCGAGCAGTATATGTAAAAAGGTCAATTTGTTATGAACGGTGTTGGGTTCTGCTTCGATCTCAAATGCCGTGTGAAGGTCCGGAGCTGTAAAGACGGACTCATCTTCTCTGGTTCTACGTCAATTGAGTGTCAATGTCGAGTATGCGTAAGAAATGAGGCCATTGCCACTAAAATTTTCACTTTGGTGTGTATTTATTTGCCCAGTTCAGGACCATGAGTTAGGCACCACGCATGTAAAAGAGAATAGCAAATCCCATGAACTTCTAGTCTTGTGCACAAGGGCCTGCAGTGTAATTCAGGAGCTAGCCAAATCTGGAAACCAGCGGAAATGCTCCGCTTACCGAGCCATCGCCGACACACGGGAAAATTCGCCCTCGCGTATCACTTCGACGGCGCGCGCCCAACAAGGGTTCAATCGGCTCGAAATTAGTCCAGTATGCTTTCCAATGCTCGCTCTTTCCGTGAGGAGCAAAAAAACGTGCTCGAAACGCGTGTCGAGTCGAAAAGAAATATTTTGGCCCTGTGACAACAAAACTCAACACCATGGATAGATACAGGGCAAAAGAAGTCAAAAAGACAAGTGTCGGGAATTGAGCCCAACGCGGGGGTCGAACCCGCAGCCTTGAGATGCCTATATCACCGTTGAATCGGTGTTGTAAGAGTCTCACGCTCTACCGATTGAGCTAGCCGGGCAGCTTGTAGGAGGCTCCTATTTGCTGGTTGTTGAGGGTACCTTTGGAAATTCAAAATATATACTGCATTGAACTTGGAGAGAGCGATTGATGTGGGTCTTAATAACCTAAACTATGGCCATCATGGCCATGGCGTTGCGTCAAAATGCATATTCTTCTCCCCTCTTTTGTTCTCATCTTTTTTCATTCAAGGAGGCCACAAAGAACTTGATCAAAATCACTGGGTCAAAAGTACAGCTTATGGGCCACCAACCCAATCCATTTTCTATCATGAAAGTATCAACGGAGCGACTCAAACGCAACAACGAGGGATGCGAAGGTTCAGGGGACTGACCATCTAGCAATGACGGCTGTAATCGTGCTTTGGGACCGGTCAATCAAGACAAAAATACTCATCAATCGTTCACCATTCGACCAGAAGTTGGGTAAGCTAATTCTGACCTCCCCACAAGAAACCCTGCAATCCAGAACGCTGATGACGCATCAAGTGCAACCATGCCAGGGTATTTCACCCCGCTCACGAACCCTCTCTCCCTATTCCACATCGACTGACCAGCTTCAATTCCGGCCCCTCGAATTTTTGTCTGACAGACTAAAAACGAAACAATGCCGCCCATCACGCTTTACTTTCTCCAAAGCTCGCGCAGCATTCGCACGGCATGGCTACTGGAAGAATTGTCACTGGACTACGACGTCAAGTTCTCAGGCAGGATGGCCGACGGCCGGGCGTCCCAGGAGGACCGCGACGCGGTGGGCACAGCAATGGGGAAGTTCCCGACCATTAAGGACGGCGACGACGTTGTCATGGAAAGCGGAGCAATTACGCAGTGTGTCTCACATTTTCCTTTGCGCAATTCCGCCCAATTGCTCTCCTACGCAAAAGTCACGACGGAATGATCTTGCGTGGCGCGGAATGGCAGCATCTGCTGGGAAATCGGTGGCTAAAAGTAAACACCAGATACCTCTGCGAAAAATACGACAAGTCGCATCGCCTGATTCCATCTGATCCGGCCTTGCGCATCAAAGCTTTGGAGTGGCTGCACGCCGCCGAAGCGACGTTTGCTCTGCACAGTCTCGCGATCGTGTACGCGCGCTGGTACTATCCCAAAGAGGCACCGGCCGAAGGCCTCGAGCAAATGGAGGCCAGCATGTCGAAGAACGTCAAAAACGACTTTGGCTGGCTGGAAAGCGAGTTGGAGAAGAGCTTGGGAGGGTTCTTGGTCGGAAAAGAGGTGACTGTCGCGGATGTCATGATGCAGTTTGGTGTGAGGTTTATCTTTGAGAAAGAGCTGGGGACGAAGAGAGATCGCTGGCCGAGGACTGAGGAGTGGTTGAAGAGATGCGAAGAGTGTGAGGCGTATAAGAGGGCGGTGAAGAAGACTGGTCACGTCTTCTCGTAGTCGTGGTAGTCTATGGAAAGGGGCCGTGGTGCAACAGGGCCGAAGCGGAAGTGACTGGACGGTTCCATTCTCTGAATCTGTACAGCAATTCTAGGCAAAAAGCTGACCGCGAACCATCACATGCTTTCAACGCTCGAGTTTCCAGAATACCACACACTTCTCACACACCCAATCAACCACTGAGTTACAAAAGACTCTTGACGAAGACACCCAAAGAAAAACTCTTGACGCATTCAGACAGATCACGGCATCCCACTACGAAACCCCCGGTTTCCTTGCAGTCACGCACCAAGCCGACCACAGCAACGACGCTTCACCATCACCAAACTCCTCCTTCAAAACGCTCACAACCGCCGGCACGACCAAATCCCCCATCTTCTCCCGCTGCTCCTCACTCCAACAACCCCGCGTGACCATCCTCAGCATATCCCCATACAACGTGCAAAAAGCGTCGGCATCACGATGCCTCGTCACATTCGGCACCAACTCGACAGCGACATCCACAAAGCCCGTCTCCCGCGCCACGCGCTCGAGAAAGCCGCCCTCGGTCCAGCGCTCCTCCGGACCACCCTGAGAGGCCCAGGTCGCGCTAAACTGCGCGAATGGCGGGAAGGGCGGCGCGCCGGGGATCGACGCGATGGCGCGCTCGACGATCGGGTACCAGCCTGTCATTTGCCAGACGGAGAAGGCGGCGGTGCCGGCGGGCTGCAGCACGCGGTGTTGCTCGCGCAGGGCCTGGCGCGGGTTCGGCATGCCGATGATGCCGAAGTTGGTAAGGACGTGGGTGAATGTGGAAGGTGGGAAGGGGAGGGACTGCGTTCTCTAGTCAGTCACTGGACATATCTTGTCGCACGACTCCAGGCGAAATAGAGAGAAGGAAACAAGCTCGCTCACCAAGGCATCCGCAACCTGCGCCCTCGCCCCTTCCCATCCATTCTCCGCAATGCGCTGGGCGACGCTGTCAATCATGCTCGACGAAAAATCCGCACACGTCAGGTGAAGCCTCGCTTTGGCGTCGTCCGGGAGCAGCGCGTGTAGCTGGACACTGACGATGCCGGTGCCGCACGCGTTGTCCAGCACTACAATGTCTGACGAGCCCGAGGCCTTGGATAGTCCGCTGTTGTGTACGAGGACGCTGGCGAAGGGCCGGGTGAGCTCTTCTCCTGGCTTGTAGCGCGTTGCGGCTTGCGGGTTGTGCCAGTCCATCATTGTTCGTTTGGTAGGGGTTGGATCGAGAATCAGTGGGGCGTGGGTGAATAGATGATGACAGTCTTGAGCGACTGCAATTCCTGAAGCAAAAATCCCCGAAAGATGGTGAGAGCTTCGAAAGCAACTTTGTCTTGAATCCGAAACGTTGTAGGGCCACTCTTGCTGTAAAGGCGCTCTTAAGTACTGACTCGCTGTAGTGTGACCCAAGCCGACAACCCTCTCAAATCGCTCCGATTGGCATCAAAGAAACCCGGTCACTCGCAAACATTTGACAGGTTGGCAAGAATTCTGGATGGGCTTTTGTCGTCTGGAAAGGGTTCGGCGCATTCGGCTTATTTCCGACAATGTCTCCGGGCCAACAGGCGTCGTGGAAATGTCTCCGTTGCTTGGAACTCGCAGCACAAGGACAACACCAAAATGGAATCAACGTCAATTTGGGAATAAATCTACAATATAACCCTACCACTAAAGGGTGCAGCTCCTCTGCTCATGGCGGAAGCCAGGCCACTTGGGCACAAACTTGCTCGCACCCTTCTTCTTCTTGCCGCCATTCTTTTTCTCGACGTCCTTCTCCTTGTCGACGCCCTTCTGCTCCTCCGTGCCATCCTTTTCCTTCTCAGTTTGGAGATACTTTTTGTTCCAGCTCTCCCAGCTCTCCCAGTTCTTCTTGTTCCGCGACGCCAACATGTCCCTCACGCGCGCATCATTGGAATTGTCAAATAGAGTCGTCGAGCTCGCGCTGGAGCTGGAACGAGTCACACTACTGCCAGCCACAGATGCCGGAGTCGAGAGCGTGGTGAGGGGGAGACGACCAGACGACGTGGTGGGGACCTTGCCGGTAGCGTCGGTCGTCGTTTTGGCGCGCGACAGGGAGGGGTATGCGGGAGGCGAGTGGGCAGGGGCGGAGGGGTAGGTGTATGGGTTGCGGTTCTCTTCTACCCGAGGGGCGGAGGGATAGGTGTACGGGTTGTCCACGCGGTCCTCTTCAACCTGACCGACGCTGCGCATGCCACCCCATTGCCAGCTCGCCCTAGGAGGCGTGGGGGGATGCTGGCGCAGGGGATTAATGAATGTCGACGGCAGCTTAGCATCATCTGGCACGGCGGCGTTCGTGCTGGCCGTGTTCGAAGCAGGACGAGAAGTGCGGAGGCTTTGCAGGGCGTGGCCGGCTCCGCTTTTGTTGTTGTTGTTGCTGCTGCTACCGTTGGCGGCGGCGCGGCGCTGCTGGCCGTCTTTACGTTCGCCCGCGATACCACGGATGAGGAGGTAGAGAAAGACGGCGAGGACGAGGAAGGCGCAGATGCCGATGGCTACCCACTGCCCGGCGGTTCCCTTCTCCTTTTTGGCGGCGTCAGCGGCCGCGGGGTCCTTGGTGTTGAGAACGGGGCGGGGCGAAGAGGGGCGAGATGGCGAAGGCGACGACGACGACGACGACGACGACGACGAGGGCGAAGGGCGAAAAGGGAGTTGATGGTCGTGGAAGCCATGGCGGTGGGGCTGCTTGCTCGTTGCCGCTACCGAGGCGGTTCTAGTGCTCCAGGTCCGCGTCGAGTGTAGATGGGGCAGCTGTGGGAACACGCGGTTCATGTATGGCTTCAAGTGCTCCGTGGAACCACCTGCTCTCCGAGTGGAAGAGCTGGGGGGACCCCCTTTGCTCGAAGAAAAAGCCTGAGGACGTGGAGTACCGCCGTATCGAGACCCCGACAGTTTGACATCTCTCTTCTCGACACGGGCAGTGCCCTTGGAAGGACTCGAGGCAGCAGGTGTGGCCTTGACGAGTCGGCCTCCACAGAGGGGCACTGTACTCGACGAGGGCTTCTGGATCAACGTGGGATCCCACACCAACTGCCGGGGCCAAAGGAGTCCATGTCCATCCCAAAAGCGCCGAGACACGACATCGGGCGTACCCAGAGGAAGAGTCGAAGACGATGGGGTGATGTCCGGGAGAGCAGTCTGCGGCACAGACTGGTCAGGCGTCTCGACGGCCCGCTTCGCCCTGATGAGCGTGTGGGGTGTGAAAGACGGGTGGGGACCTTTGGCCAAGACCGGAGATGGACGAGAGACCGGAGAACGATGGGAGACCAGAGACTCATGGGGGGCGAGGTTCTCAGGGATCCCATGTGGCTTTTTCCTATGTACGCTGACGATAGGAATTGTCTCCAGGCTTTTGACGACCTGGTCGACGGGCGGCGGCAGCTGTATCAGGACACCATGCGGGTCCTGGTCCTTGTAGTGTTCGATTGTGCCATTCATGGCATCTGCCACGACGCACAAAGGCGCCATGGCAAAAAGCAAGAATGCTCCGAGGAGCAGAACGATTTTGGGGCTAAGAGGCTGCCTCATGATGATGGGAGTTGAAAGATGTCGAGAAGGTTTCCGCAGGCTGTGAGTG